CAATGACAGTTTTTTTGCGATCCGTCGTCATGTTGCAGAAGTTATTACGGGTGCACACAAATGTACTGGTATTGTTTGTGGACTCATTGGCCGACAAAAGCAATGAACTGAGAAGGATATCGAAAGTTGTTGTGGCGGCAGCGAAGCAAGCTCAGGGTCAGGCCACTGTGGCGCAAATTCCCTGTAATGATGGCGTTGCAAGGAAGCTTTGCAAAAAGCTTAAAGTCAATCCGAAACCCTTTGTTTTCAAACATTATCGGTAATCATCATTCCTAATTTCGCGTACACTCGATGAAAACAGGCAAGATATGTTGCTGAAGTGTCTTTTTTGTATGGTCCCGAAGAGTTGGCTGCTGGACAATCCGACTGCATGCTTCATCTTCGATTAGTATTTCTCGGATTTCTTTTATGGCGTTTTCACTCATCATTTAGTAAGTATGAACAAAACAGCATAATGGGACTGTGACATTTGGTGCCTCGCACACGATGCTAATTGTCCGCGCGCGACTACTGAAAGAGGTGGAGGCACTCAGCAGCAGTCTAAGTGCCAGTAGCGACCATTTGCTATGAGGTTGTTGATGGCCCACTCTTCCAAGGATTGCGTAGGAGCAAGCTGTTGGCACGCCTGAATACTAGCTTGTCACCGAAAAGAGTGAGCAAACTGTGGGATGATTGTTTTTCCCATTGGCGAAGTCGAATCGCCGATGTTCAGTGCATCATGCGTAGCTCTACCTATCAATGCAGCATGCGCACCAGCTCATGTCTGATTAACAAAATCAGCGATGTGATAGTTTGACTGTCGTGAGTAATAACATGCAGTTCAAGCCGACTTCGTCCTCCAGGTGATGCATCGATAGTAGTGCATGGCTTCTTTGGGGAAACGCTGTAACTTCGATGCGCACCTGTCTTGGATTTGAGTTCATGCCGTGTAGCAGGTGCGGGGCACTGGGATACTGGAAAATGAGAGCTTTATTCAAATTACCAAGCTCCGAACATTTCGATTATTTTTTTTTAAGAGAATGTGGAAAAAGTAGTGCGATAATTGTGAAGCGAAATGTGAAGTATCTTACGTTTTCCTACTTTAAAAATCTGCTGTTCGAGTGTTAATTTCCTCCTTTGCCATCGATGCTTTTAGCAGTTTGTCTGTTCTGCTTTAAGTTTACCCACGTTACTTTATATAGCCTTTCAGATGGACTTTTGCTGGGCTTAGTTTAAGCCGTCCAGGCATCGTTTG